TTTTTTATTTTCATTTTATCCTTTCTCTTGCATGCATTCATCCACTGTGCTGCAGATCTTTATTTTTTGGAAATCGAAAATATTTAAAGTTGGGTTAGGTTGGGTGTCAAAAAACACAATAATTTCAGAAAAAACTCAAAAGAAATCGTAGTAATTAAGTGTTTTAAAACACCCGTGCATAGTGTATACGCCTATGCAAAACCATGGAGTAAAGAACATCTTACTCAATGGCAAAACTATAACATTTGAATCTGGTTCGCACGTGACGTCACATGCACGGAGTCGACGAGGTTTCGTTTTATAATCAGCATACAGAGGTTTCGTGGCCCACGATTCGTGGGGATATACTCGCCCACGATTCGTGGGGATGTATACATAAATAAAGAAACAAAATAATGCTATTACCTTATGTTCTGTGGCTATTACAATAGGTAGGTATACCCAGGGGGGTGAAACTCATATAGGAATATGCGCAACAAGCACCTCCCGAGCAACGTTGCCATATTTTCTTTTTGTGGCTTAAGTCATCTTTTTTAATTGTCAGTTTTGACTTCTGTCAACGATAACGGTAAAGATCTATTCCTAAGATTAAGTATTTTTTGAGTTTTTTCATCTGTATCGCTTTCCCTTGAAGTTACAGTAAGTATATACAATAAATCAGTTGCTTTTATAATGTTTTTTTGAAGAATGACATACCTATTAAATAATTAATTTGTATGTAATTTATTACGATTAGTTTTTTTTTGCAAAAACCAATACTACTTAATAATATTGGGACATTTGCTTTAATAGGGACTATTGTTGTTTGAAAGTAATTTCCAGCGTAGGTACTGATGTCCCTGGTGGACGAAGTTATTGAAATTTTTACTTTTGTTAAAAATGTAATGCATAAATGGACATCAAAATTTTTTTAATACATGGGTCAGAATTTCTCAAACAGGCCACCTGAATTAGGTCAAAATTAGTTTATGATTGTAGATACATTTTTTCGATAGTATTTTACATCACTAACACAAATCCTAAAGGATTTTGTAAAAAAATTTTCAATTCACATAAATTTTCAATTCACATCTAATGTACTTTTAATATCATGAATATTATTCATGATATTAAAAGTAAAAGTTTTTAGTGATTAAAAAATAAAAAAAATCATTATGGCTAAACTAATTATCCGATTCCAACGATATAACTAGCGTTGGAATCTTGTTTTGACATAGATTCTTTGTTATTTTTTTCAATTGTACAATTTCCATTTAGGTCGATTTTTTTTTGTTTTTTTTTAAAACAAATTCGAAAAAAATTGGCTTCTGCGCCAGCTATCGACTCGAAAAAAAAACACATATACTCCAATCATTTTTCGAAATTATGCTGCTGAGAAAAAAAATTGCCCGCAGGTTGACAAAAAGTTATTCGTCCTTTTGTGGCCGCGCGCGGTGTCAGCTCACGCTCCGAACCGTGTATGGTGTACGCGCTTGCGACGGGACGTCTTTCGGTGGTCTGGAATGGTACTTTTCTAATCAAAATTAATTTGTGACCTTAATAGTTGACTTGGAGCCTTGTTTTTTGTATTTTATTTAGAAATAAATAAGCTTTATACTGATATAAACAAAAATAATTTGCATTCATTATATTTTGTTTTATAAGGCGCCAAATTAAAAATTACATTTTTCTTGGTACTCACTTGGTACTTCCTGGTACTCACGTGGATTATCTGTCAAATTTTCTACTCCTTGATTTAGTTTGTAACTTTCTTAAAAAACTAAAGTTATATTTTCATATCGTAATAATTTTCTTAAATTGACTAAATCAAAATATTTAATTTAGGTATTCTATATTTAGTTCGGTCACACACAATAAGTATCTAATAATAAAAAAGAAATGCCTATCGAGCAAGTTTACAGAGACCCGTAAACTCACAAATTACGACGCCCCAACATTTTTTTGACTGGGCTAAGAATTTTTTTAAAAAAGTGAAATGTAAAATATTATTCAGAAGTCAAATTAAATTATTATTTTCGTACTATTTTTTTTATTTTTAACCATCATGGTTAATCATGGTTAAATCATGGATGTAATACCTATTTATATACTGTCTTTTTAAAATCGAGAAAGTGTCACTTTTCCTGCTGTCCAGGCAGGCAATACTCTCATTTTTCCTGTCTAGATTTTAGATTTAAACAAAATTTTCTTTGCCGTTTAGGCTCTGTTACTTATAATAATATTAATATTAATAATATATATATATATATAATATATATTATATTATATAAACAAAATAAAAATATTTTATAATTTAAACTTATGTAATGTATGACCGAGCTCCATATAGAAAAAATAACACAAATACGTTTATTAGTAGGTAGGTACAGATTTTTGTTTACATCACGAAAAAAGAAGAATTTTTATTTTACCACAAAGTGTTGGTTATAAAAAATGTTAATATTTCAGTTTGGCGCCATTTAAAACAAAATATAATGCACATAAAATGTTTTTGTTTTTATCACAATAAACCCCATTTATTTCTTAATAAATCAACAACTAAAACAAGACTCTGAGATTATTAATACAGGCAAAATTTTTATTTTACCAAAAAGTGTACTTTAAAAATTTATTTCTTTGGTTTGGCGCTACACCTATAAAAATACTATGGACATAAAATATTTTTGGCTTCCACACAGCAAAGCCAATCAATTTCCTAATAAAACAAACAAAAACCACAAGGCTTTACATTTATTTATAAGGGCAGAATAATTTTTTAAAATGTGTAATCAGAAAAATTTATTTTTTGTAAAACATAATAAAATATAATGAGCGAAAATTATTTTTGTATATACCAATATAAAGCCTATTTAGCAAGCTCTAAGTCAATTATTACGGTCACAAAATAATTTTGATTAGAAAAGTAGGTACCATTCCAGACCGCGTACAGCGTACACGGTTCGGAGCGTGAGCGGCCACCGCGGTGCACCCACAAAAGGACGAATAACTTTTTGTCAACCTGCGGGCCATTTTTTTTCTCAGCAGCATAATTTCGAGAAATGATTGGAGTATATGTGTTTTTTTTTTTCGAGTCGATAGCCGGCCTTGGTGGTGTAGTGGTCAGAGCTCCTGGGTACGAGCCGAGAGGTCGTGGGTTCGAATCCCACTTGGGTATGGTTGTTTATTTGTGTTTGTCCATTGTGTATAGTCCTTCGGAGGGGACTTTAAGCCGTCGGTCCGTTCCTACCCCTAACCCGCACAAGCCATTCAGTTGGCTTATGGGACATCTTAGTTTGGATGTAAGGGTGGAACTAAAAGAGCACTTTATAGCTGGCGCAGAAGCCAATCATTTCCGAATTTGGTATAAAAAAAAACAAAAAAAAAATCGACCTAAATGAAAATTGGACAATTGAAAAAAATATCAAAGAATCTATGTCAAAACAAGATTCCAACGCTAGTTATATCGTTGGAATCGGATAATTAGTTCAGCCATAATGAATTTTTTTATTTTTTAATTATTAAAAACTTTGAGTTTTAATATCATGAATGTGTCAATTAAAAATTTTTTTTTTACAAAATCCTTTAGGATTTGTGTTAGTGATGTAAAATACTATCAAAAAAATGTATCTACAAACAAAAACTAATTTTGACCTAATTCAGGTGGCCCGTTTGAGAAATTCTGACCCACATGTATGTTTTTTTTAGGGCCAAAACCGATACAGGAGGGAAGTTTTATACCTTCTTTCACTTCTGAACCCATTCAAATACAGATGCACTGTTTGTATATTCTTTAATTTATTTTATTGTTAAAATTAGTGTATTATAACCATTTACTTTTTAAAATAAATAAATCTTTGCAACTATTTTATTTTATTGGTCAAATTTAAATAAATTAATATTATAATTATTAATATATACAAAATAGATAAAGCCGGCCCTGTAGTATAAAAGTTAATAAAATATTTGGAGAACGGCCCTAATTGGCATGCGTTTATGACGTTTGTGTTGCTTAAGTTTAACCAGTGATGTAACCGATACATTTTTTTCAGTATCTAGGTACCGATACAGATACTCTCTGGTAGATGTATCTGGGTACAGATACCGATACATTTTCCCAAAAGTATCTGGGTACAGATACAGATACATTCAAAAAGTATCTAAGTTACTTCCAGATACTATGTTAAAAAAACTTAAAAATTAAATGACAAAAAAAATTTTTTTGGACCTTATAAACAAGCGTGTTAACTATAAAATAAAACTGTTTTGATAAAATTGACGAAATATCCATGAAAAACGGAAATAAATTTTATATTTACTCGCCATATGAAAGCTTACTACAAAATTTGTAGTACAAATTCAAAATTATCAGAACGAAGAAAAGCCAACTATAGGTAACCTACAGCGCTTTTGTTTAACTTTACTCACTAGTGCCTAAGAGTTACTTTATGCACTTCGCACTCCAAAGTGGGTTGAAGGGAAAAATAAATAAAATATCTTTTTATTATTTGTGGCCCACCCGGTGTGGAGTTGCAATCAGGTTGGGTAAAATAAAATGTATCTTGTATCTAAGGATCTAGATACTTTCAAAAGGATCTAGATACTAAAGTAGATCCTGATTTTTTTAAGTATCTCGATACGTATCTAGGTACATAAAATGTATCTAGATCCAGTATCTAGATACATGTATCTCGATACATTACATCACTGAGTTTAACACACTGGTGGCCCTTCTTATATTCCTTTTCTATGGGTATACCTACCTATTGTAATAGCATATTTTGTTGCTTTATTTCGGGACACCCTGTATTTAGGTGGTCAGACCTTTTTTTGGAAATTTAAGACATTCTCCTTCCTCCATGTCACGCGTAATAGTATTATTATAATTATATATATAATTATTATTATAATTATAGCACCTTATTATTATTATAATTATGTCACAAAGTCTTGAAATAACGAAAAATTTTCAATTTCAATTTAGTGACAAATTGGCAATTTGAAATTGCACGCTTTTACAACTAACTTTCTGGCGGTTTTTTGACATATAAACATAACCTCAAATATTTACGATATTTTTGAAATTCCCATGAGTCGATAAACAAATAAATAACATGCAAAAGAGTATCACGTAAGTTTGAATTAACATAACATAATACAAAATAAAACAATAGAAATTTCAGATCGTTTTTCTCCCCAAAAGGACAAAAGGACAATACAAATTCAAGTGAGAATGGGTATGTAGTTTAAATTACTCTATTATGTTTTTAATGCGGGTTGTAAGAACTGGAATATTATCCAGAACAGTTCCGCTAAAAGTAAACTCTTTAAAATTGTCTATTAACAATGTTTTTAATAAAAATGTAAATGTGTATAGAACGAAGGATACAGATAAGACTGGGAAGAGGAGTAGAAGCACAAGCGATGAGAGCAATAATGAAAAGTAAGGCTAGAATTTACTCATTGGCATTCATAAACTTATTTTAACTTGTTTTAGAAGTCCAGAAAAAGTTAAAACAAAAGTTACAAATACTGGTAAGTTTTTGCATTAATGCCAATTTGCATTTTATTTTACTATCAAGTAAACATGTTTTATAAAATAGTACATTAAAGACCACGGGAGAAAGCACAAATCACCAAGCATACATTTAACTGCTAAGGCAGTAGATTGTGTGTAAGGCAATTTATTAATAAGCTTTCTCTGCTGAGTTTAATATACCTACTACTTTTTTTCAAGCATTTAATTAAATAATTTCATAAGATTCTGTCATCATTTTTAGTTTATCAACTGACATTTTAGCTTTATTTCTGTATGGAGTTTAATAATAATTTGAATTGAACTACCTAGTTTAAATATGAAGTCTTTCTGTAAAGACTTATAAATCTTATAATAGGTATGTATACAAATTATTGTAGGCTTGAAAAAAAATATATTTAACCATTTATATATTTGATATACCGTAAATACGGGTGACTTTGCACCCCGCGGGTGACTTTAACCCATTTATGAAAAATCTTTTCGCGCTCGATAAAATTAACATTTATAATTTGTTGGTCTAAACCTGTCAATTGAACGATTCTATTGAGTTTATATTACAGGAAAATCAGTTTTTAAAGAAAGAAATGGGATTTATTACACTTTAAAATTGTATATATCGTATCAGTGCAAAACTCTTAGAAATACACGCGTTACAATTTCTATATTATGCGCAATCCATTGGAATGATGATCCTTGGTTAACTACAGGTAGATTTTTTATTTTTTTTACTGGTAATCCCTTGCAATAGATATATGTCGCTGCTAACACGTGTCTAATAAAAATAAAATATAATATTACATTCATTTTATACTGAAAAAACACTGTGAGACAAAGTAACCCGCAACCAGGGGGTAACTTTGCACTCCCAGTTTTTAATGTTTATTTTTGAAACTCAGCCCTATGTAATATTATAACATAGTTATTATGAAAGAGCAACTCAAGACTCAAATTTTGGTATACAAAATTTAATGTTTATGATTGTTAAAACCACAAAAAATTTAAGCTGAAGTTTGAAAGTGAGCCAAAGCCACCCGTGTTTACGGTACATTTAATTATTAAATTCCAATATTACATAAATTTACCTACCTATATTTTGTAATTGTTAAATTTGGTGGGAATTTAACTGGCTTTGAAAAAGTGGTATACAAATCTGTGATCTAACCTTTCTTGTTATTATTTATTCATTTATTTTATTTTTATACAGGTTCTTGGCTGTAATATAATTTTTAAACTAGGTATCTGATATTTATTAATTTATGTTACATACTTATTATATTTCTAATTTACTTATTATCTTTAAACTCTGTGTGACTTGTATTTTATTTATTTAGAGCCTAAATAAAAATAATTATATTTATTATTATTATTATTATATAGATAACATTTTTTTAATATTTTTAGCAAAAAGGACAAAACCTTTAGAGTCATCACCGGTTAAAGAAAATATTAGCATTACATCATCAGGAAAGAAGAAAAAACGATTGGCTATAATTGATTCAGATTCTGAAGAAGAAATCCCTTTGAAAGAAGTTAAGGAAGAAATTGCATCACCTAAAAAGGAGAAACCAACAAGTGAAGATGAAGAACCAATAAAGAAGACTGAACCAAAAACATCTAAAATTAAAAAAGAAAGCAAAAAGATCTCTAGCAAAAAAGCAAAAAAGGAGACAAATAAGTCACCGGAAGTGAAAAAATCACCAAAACTTGAAGAAAAACCCAAATTATCTTCTCCAAAAACTAAAAATGACAAACAGAATGTTCTTAGTTTTGGTAATATTTTATTAAAAACTAATACCTAAATACCTAATTTATATTAATTTTTAAATTTCTAGGCCAACCACAAACCAAGGATAAAACTGATTCAAAAATATACAATCCTACAAAATCTAAGTACCAACCAATAGATGATGCCATTTGGAAACATAAAGAAAAGTTTGTATATTTAATTATATTATATAATTTTATAAATGGTATTTTTTTAAATATATTTTATAGAAAAAAAAGCTGCTTAATTGCTAAATTTTCAAAATTTTTGTTGCCAAAAATACACAAATGTTTTTAAGTTATGATTGTAACTTAATAAACATTACAATAATTTTAGGGTACCTTACTTGGCATTGGGCAGAACTTTAGAAGAAATAGAGGGCATATCAGCTAGACTAAAAATCATTGAAATCCTAAGCAACTTTTTGCGATCTGTAATAGTACTAACCCCTGAGGATCTTTTAGCCAGTGTTTACTTATGTTTAAATAAATTAGCCCCTGCCTACGAAGGTGAATACCAAACATTTTACCTGTACAATTTAATTTTAATGTAATGGCTTTAGGTTTGGAACTTGGAGTGGCAGAAACAAGTCTTATGAAAGCCATAGCACAATCAACTGGCAGGACTGTGCAACAAATTAAGGCAGACTCGCAGGAAGCAGGAGATATTGGAATTGTGGCTGAACAATCCAAAAGCCACCAAAAGATGATTTTTAAACCTGCCCCCCTTTCTGTAAGAAGTGTCTTTGAAAAGTTAAGGGAGATTGCCAAAATGACTGGACATGCAGTAAAATAATACACAAGCATGTAGTTAAATACTTACAAATTAATTTCTTATTTTTTAGTCACAAACGAAAAAAGTCCAAAAAATCCAGTCAATGTTTGTGGCATGCCAGGGATCTGAAGCCAAATTCTTGATAAGATCATTGGCAGGAAAACTTAGAATTGGTCTGGCAGAACAGTCAGTATTGATGGCATTGGCTTTGGCCTGTGCTACAACCCCACCAGGTCAAGATTATCCACCAAAACATTTGAACGTCGCAAAGGAAATGGGCGCTGAAGCCTTTAAAGTCGAATATGACAAATTGGCGTTGATTTTGAAGACTGCCTATTGGTTAGTAGAAATATATGCCTGTGTTCAAACATATATTAAAATTATCGCTATTTTAGTGAATGTCCAAATTATGATATGATTGTTGATGTTATATTGAAGCATGGTTTGGAATCATTACCGGAAAAATGCAAGTTAACACCTGGAATACCATTGAAACCTATGTTAGCTCATCCAACTAAAGGTGTTCACGAAGTTTTGCAGAGATTTGACAATCTTAAATTTACTTGTGAATGGAAATATGATGGTGAAAGAGCACAGATTCATATAGACGGAGATAAGGTGCACATTTTCAGCAGAAACCAGGAAAACAATACATCAAAATATCCAGACATTATCTCGCGTTTGGATCATTGTAAAAGAGACACTGTTAAATCTTGTATTTTGGATTGTGAATCTGTAGCATGGGACAGAGAAAAGAAACAAATATTGCCATTCCAAATTTTAAGCACAAGAAAAAGAAAAGTAAGAATATATTCCTATAAATATGAAAGGTTTTTTTCAATTTCCTACAGCTTGGCGGTATTTTACGCTAGTACAAAATATGTACAAATATGTACATAATTAGATGCTCTTCAAAAGTCCTTGCAACAATTTTACAACAACCTACATTTCGACCAGTATAGGTATTTCAGCAAAGCCATATTTTAAATAAAAAAAAAGTATTAAAACGGTTAAAGTTACAGGTAAAAAGTAAAAATATGACGTATACAGGTCGAAATATAGGTTGTATTAAAATTGTTGTACTTTTGAAGAGCATCTAATTATGCACAAATTGCACCTATGTAAATTGTAGTAGTAAAAATGTCTCCAAGCTATTGGAATTTGAAAAAAATCCTTAATTTCCTATGTTACCCGCACAACATTCGTGATATTCATAGGAACATCACGTCGTGATTTTCACAAATTTTATTCATACTGATATCATACGGAAGTCACCGCATAATAAATGAAAATCATACGAACGTCACGTCGTGATTTTCACAAATTTTATTCATACGGACATCATCCGGATGTCACTGCGTGAGAAATGAAAATCATGTCGTGATTTTTTATGCCATCGCTGTTTGCGATTGACCGATGGCACAAAAAATCATGTCGTGATTTTTTATGCCAACGGTGTTTGGATAATCATTTTTGCGCCACGTTCGTACACTAAGAGAAAAATTATGTTGAATCAACAGTTTTTGCGGTTAAATACATTTAATATTTTCTTGGATTTAAATTAACTTTATACCGGGTGTATCTAAGAATAGGCGCACCCCTGTAACTTTTTTATTTATAAAGATAGACTCATGAAATTTAGCATTGTTATATATTTATAAAATGCCACTTATATGAGTACAACATGAATTTTTTGAACTTCCGGTTTCGCTGGAAATGTTACCAACTTTCAATTTTTAAATGGAATGCCCTATATATTTTTACATATTTGGAATCCTGAGACAGCATCCTCAAATTTACCTTTTGACGTATCGTCATCGGAAAATGCATCATCATAAAGATCAATCTAGAGTGATAAAAAAATCACTTTGTGATATCATCATGACTTCACCAGGAAATCCCGATTGTTGTCCGGGTTATTTCAAATAAAAGTACTTAGGAGTAAGATTAAGGGCTGAAACTTTAAGGGCATTTTTTCTCGATATGTAGATCAATATTTTGTTTGGGGAGCGACAAAAACTAAATGTTCCTTTATAATCGAATCATCCTAATATTCCTATTAGGTATAAGGTACTTCTAATATTTGTATTTTAGGATGCAACTGAAGCTGATATTAAAGTACAAGTCTGCGTTTTCATGTTTGATTTACTCTACTTTAATGGAGAACCTCTGGTTAAAAAACCATTTATAGAAAGAAGAAATTTGCTAAGAGAACACTTCCAAGAAGTTGAAGGTGAATGGAGTTTTGCAACTCATCTGGACACCACTAAAATGGAAGAAGTACAAGAATTTTTGGATGAGAGTGTTAGAGGCAATTGTGAAGGATTAATGGTGAAAACACTGGAAAAAGATGCGACTTACGAAATAGCTAGAAGATCTCATAAATGGTTGAAATTAAAGAAGGATTATCTAGAAGGTGTAGGCGACACACTAGATGTAGTTGTAATTGGTGGATATTTAGGCAAGGGAAAGCGTACAGGTACCTATGGTGGATTCCTATTGGCTTGTTATGACAAAGACAATGAAGAATATCAAAGTATATGCAAGGTATGAACAATAAAAAATGATTAGTTCAAAAAATATACACATACCAACTAAATTTGTTTATAGATTGGAACTGGATTCAATGATGACATTCTAGTGCAACACTCTGACTTTCTAAAAACCCATGTAATTTCTACCCCACGACCGTACTACCGTTTTGACGCATCTTTAGAACCTGATCATTGGTTTGATGCTGTTCAAGTTTGGGAAATTAAATGCGCTGATTTATCATTATCTCCGATTCACAGAGCTGGTTTGGGAATTGTATGTACTACACAATTTATTTTAATTTATTCATTGATGATTTAGATTTTATTGATTGTTCTATGAACCAATCAGAAATCTAGTGTGCAGTGGAAAATTCCGTGCTCTGATTGGTTATTAGATTTATATACAGTGTTTCTTTGAAATTGCGACTTTACTTTATTTACCTACATAATATATATTATATTCTTGAAATTTTATAAAAAGTGCATTCTATTGACAAAAAAATTGGACGTATTTAAATATTTAAAAAGTAAACGCAAATTACTTCAAATAGTACAGTCATGTGTAGGAAAATCTCCATATTAGGTGATTACATGCAGGTACTATATCCAAGTTTGAAAACAAAACTTCCCCAGGGGTTTTTTGTCAGGGGATGTTTGAGGGTCATCGTGAATTGGTGTTCAAAATGTAGGAAATGATGACCCCTACATTTCGTACATTTAAACTATAGTCGAAAAATTAACGGTTTTAAATTTTTTCATGAACAAACTTTGTTTGATATTTGACAATTTTTTGTAAGGGTGGACATATCGTCGGATGGGGATGACCGTATACTCAAGTTCGAAAAGATAATTGGGAAAAATTGATTTTAGAAATCTCCCCACCTTTTGTGTGTGTAAAAGGCTTTTACACACACAAATTGTTCCATGACAGCTATATCCGGCGGTCAATAGTTTTCCCTGAATTCGATTTTGAATTTTCAACCCCCGATAGGGGTGGACAATTTAAGGTTGCTCCATATTGAGAAAATTTTGATGGGCACATTTCGTAAATTCAAATTTGGTTAACCGTTCCCGAAAAATTGACGGTTTTTAATAAAAAAAACATTTTTTTTTTTGAAAATTTGATAATATTTTTTAGGGGTGTTAACATTTTTTTATAAGGTACTTAATTTGAATACGATTTTTAATTTTTTTAAATCAGTGGTTTACCCCTCGCCTAAAATGAACACTGACGACTTTGCCCCTGTGAACAAAAATGCTACCCAGATTTTTATGAACAATTAATCTTATAGAGTCGTATGGGTTACGGTTTAGCAACAATTTACGTTCCCCCCAATCATCTCCCAACAAAAAACCCCCGGAGAAGTTTTGTTTGCAAACATTCTCAGTGGTAAACACAGTGGCGGCTCGTGGGTTTACAGGAGGGTGAGGCTACATAAGGTTAATTTTGTCTAAATACGAATAAATTTCCACGTCCCTCGGGAGGTATTATTCTGCGACGCGTTGACCTTTTTTAAAATGGAGCCGATAGCACTACTAAACCAAAAAATAAACTCTAAAAAACAAAACAAACAAAATATCACATCAAAGACTAATTTTAATCCTAAACTTAAAAATATAGTCTTAAAAAAGTTAAAAATAAATAAATTAATCAAAATATAAAAATAAAACTAAAAAGTCGACCCCTACCTAAGTATTAAAAAATATAAAATACTATACGTCTATCTTTTAAGATTGAAAATTTATCTATTATTTGGTCGTAAAATTGTGGGTCTGCAGTGAGATTTAAAAGTAATTTTAAATTTTCAAACCGCGTCTCTAATTGAAGAATTATGCAATCTATTATTTCAAAATATAAAATTTGCTTAATAAAAACTGCTAAATCTACCTTAGTGTGTTCCCTACAATAATTAAATAAGAAATTTTACTAATCGAGACAAAAACTATAAAAGATCAGCCAAAAGTTTTAAATAATTTAATCTGAATCAAAACAATAACGTGCTCTACAAACGCTAAGAGAAGACTGGCAACCTTCTTTGTCTCCGCTGGCATCCCACCATAAACGGACCACCAATCAGAACAAACCAAGCTAACTTAATTTCGCCTCATCTACGGTGTTTATTCGCGAACTTACTGCGATATTTTTGTTGGGGAGTCATTTTCGCTTTCAAGAGGTAAATGGGAGCTTCCGAGGCTGTGAAAATTTCGCCTCTGTCTGGCGTCTCAACGATGCACGTTAACTTGACGCGCTTTGCGCCTGGATTTTTATTTACGCTTAATATGATTGATTGGTTTTTTACTTTTTATTGGGTAGAACTGTTGTAAAAATACACTTGTAATGGGCAAAAATATAAATACAAAAAGTCGTTCGTTCCTTCATTTTAAGGGTGAGGCGCGGCCTCAGAGGCCTACCCTGACGAGCCGCCACTGGGTAAACATTGTATAATAGTTATTTATACCAAACAGCTTATTAATAACAACATTTTTTAACAGAAACTACATACTTTCCTCTAAAGGTTACTACATACTTTCCTCTAAAGGTTACTAAACATTAAATTTGACTACTAAAAATTAATTCTTAACGGTCTTTAGGGTGTTGTCTTTACACTGACCAAGTTTTTACAAAATATCTAGAGCCTTAAGTTACATATTTTGAAACATCTCTTGATTTAAAAATAATCAATAATATTTTTCTAGGTTGACCCCGAAAAAGGCATATCACTGAGATTCCCTAGATTCATAAGAATTAGAGAAGATAAGACTGTTGAAGAAGCAACATCATCCCAGCAAGTTGCCTATATGTACTCCAACCAGGAGCAAGTTAAAAATCAATCTGGTGGTGCAAAATTCGCTGAAGAGGATTTCTATTGATTTATTGTAATTATTTTTTTAACTAAATATTCAATTTTACTAAAAAATTAAAGGCGATTGATGTGAAGTTTATTTACCTTTTGCATCAATCCTTTTCCTATTTATAAACTTATAAGTTTCTTGATTTCCACCAGTAGGTGTTTTTTAGTTTACGACTTTCTATAGAAAATGGTTTCTATTATTCATATTTAGACTGATTTGGTGACCAAATTTTGGTCTAGGGTTTTTATCTCGCACTAGATTGCAACAGAGAATTTAGTGCTTTGATTGGTTTATTACTTCCAATAGAAACATTTTAGAAAGTAAAGTAGCAAATTTCAAAAAACACCCACTAGGGGATTCTTTAAATTTCGACTTGATACTTTCATGAATGGCACGTCTATTTGAAGTGATCAGAACCAATCAGATCACAGCATTCACTTTCTATATCTTAGTGTGCAGGAAGAATGTCGTTTTCTTGGGGGCTATCTTAAAGTTTCCTTCCTTCCCATACAGCATGTCCACGGATGGGGTTACAAAGAGGAATAAAAAATATTTTACATTTCCCAGAAAATTTCATTTTTGATAAAAGTTTTTGCTTGATTTCAAACTATTAGAATATGCGACACAATATTTTTATAAAAATAATGTATCGCATATTCTAAGGGTTTGAAATCAAAAATAATTTTTATCAAAAAAAATTTCGAAAAATCAAAATTGCAAATGTCCATGGATGAGGTTTCTATTTCCCATACCGTATATCAGTGGCGGCCGGTGGATTTTGGGTATACCAAAATTTCACTTATTAGACATGGGACCCACACCAAATTTATAATAGTTTATAATGACATTAAATAGACAAGTTCGGCGCAAACAGAATTTAAATTGAAGTTTGCGAAAAAAAGTTAGTTTTTCCTGTCGCCTCACCCGCCTCCAGGCCCCCCTATTTGAGATAATTCAAATTAAAGTGGTGCAATTTATTATCTACTATAATTTATCGACAAATTTAAAATTTTATTTAAAAAATCCAAATATTACAGGTTTTATAGGAACCATTTTAAATATTTTTTTATTTTAATAAAATAAATAATAATAATTTAAAATCGAATAAAATCTGTAATATTTGGATTTTTTAAATAAAATTTTAAATTTGTCGATAAATTATAGTAGATAATAAATTGCGCTACTTTAATTTAAATTATAGGGGGGCCTGGAGGCGGGTGAGGCGACAGGGAAAACTAACTTTTTTCGCAAACTTCAATTTAAATTCTGTTTGCGCCGAACTTGTTTATTTAATGTCGTTATAAACTATTATAAATTTGGTGTGGGTCCCATGTCCAATAACTGAGATATTGGTATACATAAAATCACCAGCCGCCACTGCCGTATATAGGCTATACATAGGTGTATGTTTAGGATATAGAAATATAGGTGACTTTTATACAGGGTGCCCCAAAGGACCCTTCCAAGAAATAAACATAATTTATTTTATTTAATATTTACTATTAAAAAAAAAGATGAATGTACTAATAACGTTAATATATAATTTTTTAATTATAATTAAAAAATTATCCTGACGGTACTCCGAAAAATTCAGATTTGTAAATTAGTTTTTAACCTGAGCCCTGACCACTTTTAATAAAACAATTAGAACAAATCCTAAAAAAATGGGAAAAACTTAATTTTTTTTTCAAACGAGGTTTTTTCTTACTTTTTTACTATCCCAAAGGTACTCAATTCAGATTTTTTTATTAATTTTTAACCCGAGCCCCGACAACTTTTAATAAAAAAATTAGAACAAATCCTAAAAAGTGGAAAAAACTCATAGTTTAAAAAAAAATGCGAACAAGGTTTTTTCTTTTTTTTATTTAATTTTTAAACTAAGCCCCGGCCACTTAAAAAAAACTGAACAAATCCTAAAAAAGTGGAAAAAAATTTAAACGAGATTTTTTCTTACTTTTTAAAAAAATAAAAGAACAAATCCTAAAAAAGTGAAAACAGTCATAATTTTTTATTTAAACAAGTTTTTTTCTATGAACCCTAGTTCTTATACCTACCTTTTCTATACCTCTTTTTATATATAAACAGTTCTTCCCTGTTGTTTACCATAACTAAAATCCAACAGTGTTTAACGTTTATACGAAAATTATTATTGTGAAACTCAAAATTTAGAATGGAACCCCAAAGAAAAAGACGAAGGTTGGCGGTATGTTTTGGAGAAGATATGTTTAGCACACAACATTATTCCTACATAAACATATTAAATATATATATTATTATTATTAACTAGCTCAGCGATATAGTTTTATGGTCTGGTATTTGTGACGTCATAGTTAGGATTTTTGAACGCAATCTAAACGCAAAAATGCCTTAACTATTAACCAAGGTTAAGTTTAATGACCAAAGTATTTCATGGTATTTACGCGAAAAAACGACTAATGAGAGCGCACTTTTTCTTTCTATCGAACGGGCCCCACCTTCTGACAAATTTAACTATATTGCACATGAGCACATGTACTTTATAAAGGGAAAGTCCTAGGAGGCTCCTAGTAGGAGCTATACTCTATGAAATGCTTACTCTTTTACAATGCAAACATTTATTTAAATTTTACAAACGAACAAATGAGCCAATTGCCCCGTCGCGACGACGCACTGTGGGCCAGGATTCTGTAAAACATTGAAAAATATCAAACTCAACAAATGTATCAAATTTTATAATGTAATTATCAAAAACAAAGAAAAATAAGTTAATTTCACTTATAAACAGCTTCTCAGACAACGAAATATTGTTAGACCAGAGTAAAATTTAACAATATTTGGCTATTTTGCAAACTTTACCCACCAGGGCGAAATTGTAAAACTTATGGAAGATCTTGTGTTTTGTAATAGAAGATATAGGATGTCATAATGGAAATAATGTCACAAATAGAACTTTAAGAGCCTATATATCTATATATTATTTATTTTTCAACAGTTTTTAAAAATAATATAGATTTTCATAGACATCTTATGGCCCCAATAAAATCGAAACAAAGCTTGAAAAAGCTGAGTTATGCAAAAAAATTATTTAAAATGCTATATTTTAAATTTAAAAAAATCGATACAAAGCCGAAGGTATAAGATTGAAAAAGCTGAGTTATGGAAAAACATTATTTACCCATTTGTTTGCGACTCACCCCTGTAAAATCTTTATTTATTGTGCGATTTTAACCGGATTTTTTTTTAAGTGTAGATATTGATAAACTGTATTATTGGAGCAAAAAACGACATATTTTTACAAAATACAAGGCCTACTATGTCAGTTTTTAAGAGTAAATTTTTAAGAATTTATATAAGTGATTTTTTTAAACAAAATCTAAGCACGGCACTGGATTCACCTCCCCTCGAAACGACATTATACTAAATTTTATTGAAAAATGCATAATATTAACTACAAAAATTTATTCTGTCAAGTTATCCATGAAAATAACATTGAAATAAAATTAAACTTATAGTAATAGTGCCATGTGGTGAATCCAGTGCCGTGTTTAGATTTTGTTTAAAAAACTTGCTAATATAGTCACGGCCAAATCTATATGGGTGCACGTCATCAATGAGATATAATGACGTCAGCATTACCAACTTTGAATTGTAAAGTTACTGCCGTTAAATTAGCTTTTTTAAGGCGTAATTCTGATGTGTTATTAAAAAGAAATCATTCATTTGCGTATTGTTTACCAAGAACTGTAACAATTTCCTTGTTTTAAAACGTTTTTTTCACGAAATTATCAAAATAAAACCATTCACTTAGTAATTTTTGTGTGTGCCAGTTGGTAATAGCTTAAGGCTGGCGCGCACCGTTCAATATTATTGATGGGTCGCTGTCATTTTATATTTGACGTATTTTTGTAATTGTGACATTTCGTCCGGAAGCATCGTTTGTTGCAAATTATTATAAATAATATTATACATTATTTTTATAAGATTTAATCCCTGGATTGTGCAAACAATGATATAAGGCCTGTTGGCAACTAGCCGTTATTAGATTTCGAAGACATTGCGCCCTTAATAATAAATTTGGGGAAATAATCAGACTTCAATTCTGACCTGGTTTGCTCTGATGACAAGGACGCCTGGTAATTTATTATTTTTGTGTTTCTGATAATTTAGTATTTTTTTGTTATGTGCATATGTAATAAAAATGTAATAAACTTTGTTTGTTTTCTCTTTAAACACATTTAATAAAAATTTGCCTGTAACAAACTCCTAATTAGTTAGTGCAGAAGATTATACAAGGACGTTATAATTCCATCTTAATAACAGCCCCCACCGCTATAAACAGTCAACAATACACGAGCGTTAGATTGTGTCTGGGCACGTATGAATAGACCTTAACGCTGACGTCATATGCCGTTGATGACGTGCACCCATACAGATTTGGCCGCGACTATATGACTTCCTAAAAATTTACTCTTAAAAATTGTCATAGTAGGCCTTGTATTTTGTACAAATATGGCATTTTTTGCTCCAAAAATATAGTTTATCAAGATCTACACCTTAAAACAAATCCGGTTAAAATCGCACAATAAATAAATATTTTACAGGGTTGAGTCGCAAACAAATGGGTCACACTGTATATATATTTTTAATATATTTTCTTATATTAAAAAAACTCAACTATTTTGATTTTTAATAATAAATGTTTCTTGTTTTCAGGGTATTTTAAAATTACTGCCAATTTATAGGCACCACAGCTCAAACGATTAAACAAAAAAAATTAAAAATCAATTAAAAACACTAAAATTGCCTTAAATATATCATTTCGAAAAAAAAGTCAAAACTTTCAAAATGACAGATCACATATTCAAAAAGTCTTTTACAATCTGGGCCTAATAACCTTTCAACTAATACCCGAATAGAGCTTTATTTTGAATCAAATTGTAAAATACCACACAGAAAATCTTGCATTTTCTCCTGGATAGGCAAAATTCGGCAAAAGTTTTTTTTTCGATAATAAAGCTTAAGTACTGGAGAGTTTAAGAGCATCAACAAAAACGTGTACTTCAGTGTCGATCTTGATATATATCTGGTGAAATATCCATGTGATATGTTAATTTTTGCTTTTACATGCGTTCACTAAATCATTATTTTTTTTTGTAAATTCGCAAAGAAATCCATAAAATTTAAATGGTATAAAACCTTGAACTTGCCTGCATCTGGCCCACTCATAGTTTCTGTCAAAAAGTTAATCCACCTTAAACTGTAATGTCTTAAACTTAAGCGATTTGTTTAAACAAAATAAACCAGACAATAAGTATTAAATTTACCGACATTTGTCAAACCCGCGTGTGTCAACATAAAAACTCACGGACATATTTCTGGTGTTTTTGTAAGCTTAATGGTCTACTTGACCGTTTTTAGCATAAAAAAACTTGTTGTTCCATGATTATTAAAAATTGACTTTTTCAATGTTTAGAGAATTTCTGGCCCACAGTGCGACGCGTCGTCTAATACCTTTAGGCGGTTTTAAAATATAACTCCTGAAACTTTGCAAATTGTAAAGGAAATTTTGACTAGCAATTTCAACATTTTAAGAGAAATTCATGCACCTTTAAGCCTAATTTATAGATTTCCTTTCTTCCTTATGGAGGAATTCCTCCCGTAGAAGATGAACTATACAATCCCGTACGGGAATCTATAAACGGCACTACAGTTTTCGTATTGTTAATCTTTTACGGGAGGAAGGAAGACAATCTATAAATCAGGCTTTACATTTTGGGCGGCAACTTTGAAACACCCTGTATAAACCGGAGAACTGCATTCCCCCTATACTATGGGGCGATGCTTTCTATATAAATCATTTTTTATAGAAGGTAATGCCGCAAATTTTAAGACTTTTAGCTAAGAAACACCCCTCAAATTTTCCAGGCTAGAAATTTAAACTCTTATGTTTTGTGTTTAAACTCAACTCCATGCCATGGAGTCCATCATATGGATAGCGTTTATCGAAAAGGAACCAAGCGCCAAAAACTTTTTCTGGGGTAAACAGAATTATTTGCAAAATAACTCATTTTAGATGGTGCTCAAAAAATTAATAATGGTTTGGGAACCCTCTAAATCCTTTTGAGAAAAGTTCCAAATGATAATCCACCTTTTGAGCTTTATTAAAAATAAGTTATTCTACAAAAAAATTTACCAAGCCCAGAAAAAGTTTTTAGCGCTTGGTTTCTTTTCGATAAGCCGTAGTGCTGTTTATAGATTCTTGTACGGTAATCTATAAACAGCACTACGGTTTTTGTATTGTTCATCTTTTACGGGAGGAAGGAAGGAAGGAAGGAAGGCAATCTATAAATAAGCCTTTATCCATATATATGATGGAGTCCAATGGACTCAGTCCTTGGAGTAGTTTTGTTTATTGCGTTCATGAAGTGTGTGTAGGCTCCATGATTGCGTTGTTCATTCCATTCCTGTAGGCTCCATGGTTCATTCCTTCATTCCCTGTTCTTTGGTTCATTCTGTACGCGGTGTTGCCGGATTATCTAGATTATCTTATTTAAAAATATAGAATAGATTTGTTGAATTTAAAAATGGTTAGGTATATATAGTTTAATCACGCCCAACAATGACGTAATAGCGATAAAAATGCTTATTAATCTATGAATAGGTGTTGACGTTTAAAACGTAAATTAACCCCAAAAAATTACGTCAGCAAAAAAAATAAAATGGTGGCCAATGTTTTGTTATATGTACTGGTTTTTAAAATTCGGTCGAATAAATTTGTTGTGTAATGCGAAAACGTTGTTCCGCACAAGTAATAATAGTGACGTAATGAAAACTTATTTTCATATTGACCTTTTCCTTTTTGTACATTACAATCGTCTTCGTAGAATAGTTCATTGATGTCACTCGGTATTGGTGGACTTTCAAGGTTACGAATCGTAGGTCGTATTTATTGATTGTACGTATTTAAAATTAAAAATATAAACATTACGATTACTCGACGAGCTGCTGCTCATCCCTGCGGTTTTGTAGACTTTACGACCGAGTTACAATGACAATGCAACAATACTGTCTAAGATGGAACAATCATCAGCCAAATTTCATTTCGGTTTTTTCCAGTCTTCTAAACAGTGAATCTCTTGTTGATGTTACTTTGGCTGCTGAAGGAAAGCATCTGCAAGCTCACAAAGTAGTATTATCTGCTTGTAGTTCGTACTTTCAGGTAAGTTATTTCACATGTAATGTTCCATCGATGTTTGAAACTGTTTGGTTTTTAGCAATTATTTACAATAAACCCCTGCCAACATCCCATAGTCATACTCAAAGATGTTAAGTTTATAGACTTGAAAGTTATGGTGGACTTTATGTATTATGGGGAGGTCAATGTTTCACAAGACCAATTGCCATGCATTTTAAAAACAGCCGAGATGCTTAAAATTAAAGGTAATTAAAGTTAAAACTAAATTTTTTATTAAAAAATTATTTATAATATAAATAATTTAAAGGTCTTGCTGAAATACCTGTGGATCAATCAATTAAACAATCCAGTGTAAATGATAAGGCTGAACTGTTGACACCTGGAGATTCCAACTGGAGTTCTTCTGAAGGTGTCCAGAGAAAATCATTATCTCCATCACCTTGTCCTTTATCACCTACAGCCAGAAGGTATACACACAACTTTAACATATTTAAATTTAAAAAAATTTAACAATAATTTTTAGGAAACGGTTGAGAAAACTATCAAACGGTTCAAATTCTGGTTCAGGTGAGAGAACGTCAGAAGATCAACCCACAGAAATACTGTTGTCAACTTCCACAGGAAGTTTGTTAGGGACTGTGATAAAAACTGAACAACGTAGTATGGAAAGTAGCCCACCAAAATTAAAACAGCACAGTAGCACTGAGTCAGATTTAGTAAGGGGTAGTTCATTTGAAAGTACAGAAGGGGAAACTCATCATTCAATTACATTGCAAGTTCCTCAGCAACAAGATATTAATACAACACAAAGCATAGAAACTACAAGCTTAGAAGTACCTGGACCTTCAACTAGTGTATCTCAACAGTCAATGTCAGGTTGGTAATAGTCTAATAATTTAAATTATATACCTAGGCAACAAATTATTTTTGTTTTTTAAATGTTTACATACTTTCCTAAGATGAATTACTCAAAAATGACTAATAATTAGTGTAAGTCATTTTTGACTACCTAATTATAATGATAATTATCATAGTACTATAGAAGGTACTAATAACACTGGTCAACAAAATTTTTTGTTTGCCAAAGGGGAGCCGACAACTTTCTTAGGGTTATTTGGGTGAGCTGATTCCAAAAATGACCATCATTTTGCTCAATTATTCAAACATTCAAATTCGTATATATGTTATGGCTAATGTGCAAACTTGGATAGTTTATAAACTAGCTGGATAGTTTATAAACTAGCCAAACTGTCAGCTATTTTAATTGAAAACATATTTTCAACTAAATTAGCGGCTAGTTTACAAATCAAATGGTCAAAAATGAGAGAAAAAAACCCAAACCAACCCAAACTCAACAACCCAACCGACCCCGCCCCATTGGGCCCCCCCCCCGCCCCATTGAGCAAAAAACCCAACTAAAATGGGCAATAGTCAGGGAATTAGTTGGTTAGTTTACAAACTAGGTAAAGCTTGGCTATTTTGTGTTACTAGAAATTTTGGTTTTCATATTAGCCAAATTGAATTGGATAGTATACAAACTATCCAGCTATTTTAGTTTCCCTAATAATTTCAAGTATATTAGCCAAGATCCTTGGTTATTTTGTAAACTAGCCGCTAATTTAGTTGAAAATACATTTTCAATTAAAATAGCTGACAGTTTGGCTAGTTTATAAACTATCAAGCTAGTTTATAAACTATCCAAGTTTGCATATTAGCCATAACATATATATGTATATTTGATACTTATTGCGAGTAGTTAAAAACCACCGGCAAAAATATCCCAATTGTAACAAGAAAAATTTTGATTCTAAGATAGTGAAAAAGTACAAGTTACGGAATAACATTTATTTTAATTAAAAAATTATTGAAACATGGCTTTTATTACTGTACATTACCTAATGGTCAATTGTAAAATGATTAATTTTTTTGTCATAACTCAGGTAAAGAAAAAATTTCGAATTTAAAAAAAAAAAATATAGGAAAAACCGTTTTTTCAGGATTATTGATATTTCGTAAAAATTGTATTGTTTTATCGAAGAACACTCGATAAACTTCACGAAAAATATGATTTTTCATGTTTTTGAGACAATATTTCGTGATAGAGTATTAAAAACTATAAAAGTCATCATTTACTATTTGAAGTTAAACTTTAACCTCAAATAACTTTTAAAAGAGTCGACTATGCAAAAAAACATATCAGATCTTTTTTGTAGATCGTTCAATTCCCTACAAGAATATGTATTGATTTCTACAACTCACTGGTTCGTTAAAACGCAATAAAATTAAAAAAAAAATGTATTTTTCGCATGATATTTAAATGGAAAATAAAAAATCGCGATGAGTCACCTCTTAATATTGATTCAAACTTTATCACAATTTTTTTTTCGTTATATTGGACGATATTTTCATGGTAGCTAAAGAAAAGAAAATTAAAAGTTTTTTTTGGCCCACCCTAATTTATATTTATTTTAAATCAAACATTTTAAGTAAGAATCATTGGTCATGTAACTACAAGACTTGTACTTAGTACTTATTTAACTAAAAAAATATATATACACATTCATAAAGTAGGTCCCTTAAAAAACCTGCCAAAACGGCACTCAAAACAACCGCGCGTGTTAAAATTTATATTTAAGTTTAAAATAAATTAAAAAAGTTTTTCTCAAATATCTCTAAAAGAAACCAACCGACTTTATAAACCAAAATGTAGATAATCTTATATGATGTGGTAATACCAAAAATTAACTTGATCTAAGCATAAGAAAACTGAGGGTTACAACAAAATACGTGTATTTTCGTAATGATTAGAGTTTATGTAGAGGAATTCCTACGACTAGACTGTAAATATAAATTTTGACCCGAGCGGTTTTAACACAATAAATGAGGGTTCAAAATTAAGTAAATTTTATTAAAATCGAACAAAAATTGTTCTCGAAACAGCACTGAAATTGTTGACAAATAGGGTTTTTTAAAGGAATAACTTTATAAATGTGTATAATTTTTTTTTTATTTCCGTTAAATTATGATTAGGATTAGCTTTATGACCAATGATGCTTAGTTAAAGTATTTGATAAAAAAATAAATGTAGAAATTTAAGTATTTGCATATTGAAAAAAGAAGATTATTTTACAATATCTCGAAAACAAAGTCTAATTGAACAAAACTATGGGTATTTTTGTAATCAGCGCACCCAAATTACCCTAGAAAAGTTGTCACTCTGTGGCAAAATGGCTGTTGACCAGTATAATTAATCAAATTCTACTTATTCAAATAGTTTCACTAATTATTAATGACTGAGGATTGAACAAGTCTCTTGGTTGTCAAATCAAATAATGAAATAAATATTTGATGATTTGATTTGTCAAGCAGATGCCTAACCACTTTTTTTAATGATATTTGTAAACATGTCTATAAATATATTTATTAATATTTTTAAAAAAATTCAATTTTTAAGTTGAATATTCTTGTATTGCTGTTTTAAGCTAAACTTTTTAGCATCTTTATTTAATTTAACGCTAACAATAGGTTGTTGTTGGCCACGAGAATAAAAAACAATTTAAGAAATTAGTTACTTTTTACTCTCAGAAATAGTCAAAGTTGGTGACTATTTAAAAAGCGAAAATGACTATTTTATAAATAAGTAAACAATGCCAGAACTAATTCAAATATTGTAATTATGACTAATTCATTTAAAGAGAGTGTATTCAAAACCCAAACATTTGATTTACATAAAAAATCTCAAACTTGGAGTTGTCTAAACAAAATTACCAATTAAATTGTGCGTTTTTAAATGACCTAATGGGAAGCATGTTCTTACTTTGTGCAATATGCATTTTAAAGTAATGAACAAGATATGTTCATTTGATTAAAAAATTCATATTTGTTAATTAACTATTGATTTTTAGAACGAAAGTTTCTTTAGGAAACATCAGTCAACCATCTTGTGTATTTGGTTTGTTTTTATATTGACTGCATTTAATCACAGCATAGAAATAGTACCTATTTATATGCTGTGATTTAATTATGCTATTTTACTGCCTTTGCAATGTTGCCAATTTTTTTTTTAATTTAAATGCTTAATTATTTAAAAACTTAAAAAAAATGTTTTATTATTACAATTGCCTTAAATAAATATAATATACTAATTAAATCAAATAAATCTTCTTACAAAGTTAAAAAAAAATGTGCCGCTCCCAGAAAGCTTCCAAATAAATAAAATAAAAAAGTAGTGTATTAAGTAAGTTTCAATCGTTGAATTCCACTCATTCTCGGCCAACTTTAATTTAACAAAAATAAATCTAGGTCAGTATGACCCTTTGAAGCAACATAATTTTGCTCCAGATAATAATTGTATTCACAGACGGCAAAATCAACTAAAACAAGCATAAAATTTCGAAGTTGAAACAGAAAATCTCTGTGCGGTACGGGTTAACATTAAAAAAATCAAGCGCGCGTATTTTTTTTTTCAGTTATTTTTTACCTTTGTAGGGGGCGGCACGACTAAAATTTTTTGACGTAAAATTAAAGGTCCCCCTAGTGAGCAACCTTTCCAAATTTCTGCACCATTTCGGAAAAACTATCATAAGTCAAATATCACGAATTTTTAGGGTAAATCGAGTTGTTTAAAATGCGTCAATATTGACTTATTATTTGTCATTTCACTTTATTGGAAAATTTTAAGTTCTTGAAGTAACAACCCTTTATATCCACAAAAACCTTGTTTTTTAAATATAAAAATATTCAATAAGTCACCATAAAAGTGTTTATGATTGTGTGCAACCAGTGGCTAAGAATCAACAGCAACGTGAACAACAATTAAATATAAAAATCCTTTCTCTCCCAAAAGATCCTCTGGCATTTGACAGAGGCTGAGCTCAAGGGTACTCAAAAATCATTGTGACTCATTTTTATCTGTATCAGTCATTCAACTTATCCTCATTTGTTATTTCATGTTCACTATTGCCGTTGAGCTTAGCCTTAAGCCCAATTACTAATGGGCCTGTCAAATTGTCAGTATTTCTAACCCTGATGGATCCTTGCAGGACTCCAATGGAATGTGATGGATCAATCAGGATACGCCCATTTCACAACCACTTCCTGTTCTACACAAAACACACATCCTCCCCCCACCAATGCCACTACTGCACAGTATGTAGTGGCATCCCCGAACCCTAATCCCAACCAATCTCCTCCGAATTGCTACCAAAACCAAATCACCAACTCGCCGCCTCAAATAATGCAGAAAAGGAAGCGCAGCATCAACCCGCAAGCGGACGAAAACTTTATACGAGCTCTAGATGCCGTTAGGTTTGGCGGTATCGGCTTTTGCAAGGCGGCCAGGATGTATGGAGTGAACAATCGCACCCTGTGGCTGGAATACAAAAAACGAGGGTACCCGAATCAAAGACAAAGCATTAAAAATCGACTGAGACCTGATAACGCGCAGCTAGAGTCCAATGAAGTCATGGAGGAACCTATGAAGGAAGAAGGCGAGCAAATTATATGCAACACGAGTCATTCCATGAGTGTCCTACCGAATCCATATTATGACGCAAAAAATGTGGTTTTGCCGAGGCAGAAGTATTTAGAGGCGCCCATGATCAATGCTCAGAACATTCAGTTTCAGGGAATGAGTTTTGAGCAGGTCTAAAATGAACATTGGTAGTAGGTAGTAGTGATGAGCAAAATATCGTTGCCGAATAGAAATGAAAAATATCGGCGATTGGCGAAACCGCAAATTTTAAGAGTAAGCGAAATCACGTCAAAATAGCAACAAATGTATTGGAGCGAAATGGTAAAGTATTTTATTCAAATTATCACCTTTATCTTTAGACTCTTGGTTAAGCGTACAGTTTTTTAGGTTTATTATCCTATTTGTAAACATTTTAGCGTTTTAACATACTACTATTTTAACGGATTAAAGTGTTCTAAACTGCAAAATGGTGAAATATCGCACTAATAAATATTAAATGTCACGATCGCATCAGCGTTTTAAAATTGCCGTTAATCGCGTTAAGCAAATATCCCTGTTTGGCTCATCACTAGTGCATGGGATTTTTATGTACTAATTTAGAGTTAAAGAAACGCTTATTTTAAAATCTTTCGTAACTAATAGGTAACTAAGTAATTTTGTTGATTGGAACACCAACCAAAATATAATAAATACATAGTGAACATTTGATATAAATAATTGTGTATATTTTTAGGTTTTAATTTTATAATTTTTATGGCATCTAACATGTTTTTTCAGTAATTTTCTGAATTTGAAGGCTGGACTAAATTCAGTTTAATATCTTAAAGGTTGGTGTTAATTTCCATAAACAATAAAATTAATATTATACAGGGCCGTAGCCCGGGTAAAAAAATTATATTTTACTATTTTAAAATAAAAAATATTTGCCCTATTATAAAAAATCCATTTTTCGATTTAGTTAAGGCTATGTCCCTTATCCCACAGTTACTCAACCAAATATAAGCTAAGCCATAAGAGTAGTAATAGATTTTATATTATGACATATTTATAGACTGAAAATCAACTTTTGGACTGATTTTATTTATATAAATTGTTATTTATTTTTTTTTGTTAATTTGGTATTTTAGTAGTTTTTAAAGAAATCTACATATTTTTAATAAACTATGATTTTTACGAATATTTTTATAAAAATTCTTTATTATTGTGAAAATTTATATGTTGTCATTTATTTAAAATAAACGGTTATATCCTTAAAATATTTTGTTTTACTAATTAAAATGCTAAATCTTAAAAACCTTTAACCTTTGTGGGATATAGATTTGATGATTACTTTTGTCAAAACATCGTTAGCGACATTTATTTTTTTTTTACTTTTATTATTAATCCGCCGACGGTGGTCTAGTGGTTAGTGCTGCTGACTACAAGCCGGAGGTCGTGGGTTCGAATCCCACCAGGGGTATGGCTGTTTATTTGTGTTGTCCTATTGTGTATTAGTCCTTCGGAGGGGACCCCTAACCCGCACAAGCCATTCAGTTGGCTTATGGGACTTCTTAAGAAGTAAGGGTGGAACTAAAAGACCACTTTTGTATAAACTTTTTTGTATTAAATAAAAAAATACAAAAAAATTAGTTTATAAAATATCACCAACGATATTTTGCCAAACAATATTTGAAAATGAAATTTTACATTAGCTTTCTTTGAAAAAAACGAACGATTTTTGTTCACAAACCAGTATCTAACCTATGGAGCCTACACAAGGAGTCCGAACTTAATAGGGGAAATTGACGAAACCTGCCCTCTAAATTGTACAAATTAAGTTTCTTATTTTCACTACCAGCGGCGCTGATTGTCGATGCTAGCGTTTCGGTAGAAATTAAACAATTGTTTCAGAATAAACGGAAGACCAGCGCCCTCGTATCTTAGGAAGATTCTTGTTTACATGATGTTCGGACTCCTTGTGTAGGCTCCACGATCTAACCAATGGTACCATGATCTAACCGTTATAAATTTGAGTCAAATTATTTGACGCTAGAACAACATACAATTACTACAAAAACACTTTTAACGAACCACACTACGTAAAAACAATTAAATTAGGATAAATATTAATAATGCAATAAAAAAAGGAATTATAAGCTTTTGATCAAATAAAATATTGTTTTAAAACTTGGTAGCAATCACCACGATGCAGATATACTCAAGAATAAACTGTTTAGAGCGGGAATAACGCCTTGATAGATCAAGGCGGGAGCACAATATTATCGTAAGCGACACAATGTTAAATCGCAAACGCCATGTCTCGGAGTTGCTTACGATTATTTGTCGGGGACATATAGGCGCTTACATTATAAATCGGTAACAAATTAAAAAGAAAAGGCGCTTACAATAATAAAAATATTTAAACTGACCAATATTAGATTCCAAAATTGGGATAACTATTTTGTAAAAATATTTTTTTTTGCTCCAACATACAGTTTATCAAGATCTACTCTTTAAAAGTTATAAAACTGTTTTGTTAAACTATGATAAAATAAATAAAATAAAAAATAAACCTTATTCCATCAGGGCTGTCAAATGTCAATTTAAAGGTTAATTTAAGGTTATTTTATAACCCACAAATTAACCTTCAAATTGACATTTGATAGAATAAGTTTATTTTTTACAAAAGATGAGTAAAATGATTGTTCTTACCACTTTGAGGTCTCTTTTAAGGCTTTCAAGTCTCTCTGTAAGAAACACAATGTTTAAAACGATTATTAATCTGTACAAACCCAAAGCACAAGAATTGTAAACAACAAAAATGGCCGCCATCGTATGATGTACAGTGTTGCAGTGATTTTTAGTATTTTTTCTTCGAACAGACCTTGTTGTGTGGATTGTGGATATAGTGTTATATTTAATAAATAAATAAATAAAACAAATCCAGTTAAAATCGCACAATAAATAAAGATTATACAGGGGTGAGTCACAAACAAATGGGTCACACTGCATATTTGATTTTATTTTCAGAAAAACCAATTAGCAAAACCCACCCGCAATACTCGCAATTCTTCCGCCAATCGCCGCACTACCACCATCCGACGCAGCACATCGGCACAAAACGCGGCCGATTCCTGATGCGTCAGCCGGCTATCAAGAGGGAAACGGACTCCAGCCAGGCCGCTGACGGTGACCCCTTGGCGCACCATCGCCTCTCCGTCCCCACGCCCAGAGTAGAACGCCAGTGCTCGGAACCTTTGCCGGTGTCGTCTCCGCCGCCTGGAAACCTTCTGGCGGTTCCTGGGGCGGTGCTCGTCAAGCAGCACTCGCATCCGCTGTTGCCAAGTCAAACACATCCGGTAAGATGCACGTTTTAAATTAATAGAAACGCGTTTTTTTACAATAAAACTGCCTTTACAACCAATAATAAATTGTAATTATTTTAATAAAGCAAAAGCTTATATTCATGATTTTGGCAAAAAGATATATACCCAATAGGGTGTCCCTTATTTTTATTTTTTTACGCATACCCTCTAATTATATTTATTACTTGTTTATGTACTCCCAGTAAAAATTTCAGCTCATTCTATAAACGAGAACCCGTGCCGACTTGCATCTGAACCCTCCGTTAGGCAACGTTAGGCGCGCGATATTTTGTAACACGAAACACTTTAAAAAGAAAATATACTTCATGACTGTATTTTTCTAATGATTTTATTAAATATGATTACTAATTAATATTATTGCTTTTGTTTCTATCATTTGTTTCACTAATTTAGTTGATTTTATCCCTTAAATATATTAATATACTAATTAGTATGATGTCCTCCCAAAAATATTTCAGACAGTTCAATAAGTTTTCGGTAGTCATCTCTCACAATAGACTCTTTTAGTTATTTAGAGTAAAACCCATTAAGTTTATCAATTTCAGAGTTTACGGCCTATTCACCAGACCCTTACGGGTAACTAGTCAACCCCTGTGAAAATATACATTTTTATGAAAGTATCCACATAAATAAAACTATATTTTAACATTTGTCAATAATTTATAATATAAGGGTCACATAATAACAAACACAAAATGACCAACCGTGTTACAAAATACCGCGCGCCTAACGTTGGCTAATGGAGGGTTCAGATTCAAGTCGGCACGGGTTCCCGTTTATAGAATGAGCTGAAATTTTTACTGGGAGTATATAAACACGTAATAAATATAATTAGAGGGTATGCGTAAAAAAATAAAAATAAGGGACACCCTAATACCCACCCATATTTTTTTAGATATTTTTATGTTTATCAGGCTACAAAATGGGATTCTTATTAAGACTTTATAAGAACAATTGATTTTGAATAAAATTAAATAAAATAACATTTTTTTTTTGAGATAAATCTTTTTTGTGCATTATGCTTTTTACTATATAAAAAGGGATTTTTGGCTAACCTTGCATAAATCTAATGATGTGATCAGTATGAAAACAGTATTCTCCAAGTCTCGTTAACAATATACTCCAATATTATGAAAATCGGTGTACAAATGTGTACTCTGTCAAAGGTAAGATAAAAATTAAGAATTTTCAAAAAATTTCGAAAAGTGGAGCAGCTAGGATTTTGGTAAATATCATTTTAAAGTAACCAAAGTGTCCCGAACAAGAAACTGCAATCAATAAAAATCGGTGTACAAATGTGTACTCTGGCAAAGGTAGACTTTGCGATAAACAAATAATTAAAAAAAAAAATTAAAATCAAATTTAAAAAAAGCAGTTAGAACTTTGGTAAATATCGTTTTTAAATCTCCAAAGAGTGCCGATCAAAAAACTTTAACCAGTTTTTCGTTGAAAATTAAACAATATTTTAAATATTCTCTAAGCGTTATTTTATTTAATTTTATTAAAAATCAAAAATTTTTTAACCTTTTGTATTCTGATAAACGTAGAAATATCTAAAAAAATTGGGATAAATCTTTTTTGCGTGTTATGCCAAAAATATGAATTTGCGCTTTTATTATCATTTTTAAGTCACCAAAGGGTACCGAACAAGAAACTGCAATCAGTTTTTGGCGGCATTTTTATGTGACTTAAACTTCTTTCAGGCACACCGTGGATAGTACACGTCAAAACAAAAAAGTTTTTCCTCTATCATTTTTGCATTAGAGCAACTGTTTTTTAATACTAAAATCATGGAATTTTTTTGACAAAACTGGATGTCACTGACCTCTCGGTTAGTAGGTACTTTGTTATCATTGATTACTGAAAGTTCTGTTGTTATTATGGTTTCTCTGGGGCTTCATGAACAGTTTAAACTACACTAATTAGTGTATTAGAGCGAAGTTGACATATTAGAACAACTCCGCGAACTTGTCACTGCAGCGGTAGATGAAATCCGAAATCATCCGGATATCATAGCAAAAGCGACACATCATAATTTTCTACGCCGCTGTAAACTTTGTGTGGATAATACCGGCGGGATAGTTGAACACTTAAAAAATAGCTACATGAGCATCAATCGACGTAAAAAGTGAAAAGTGAAATTTAAAATCGACGGGAAAACCACTAAAACCTCGAGATACCTAACAATAAAAAGTAAGTATTGTTTTATTCAAAGTAGGTAGCTGAGTATGCTAAATAAAAAATTATCAAAAAAGTAATCAATGATAACACAAATGTAAATTTTTAATGTATGTAGATTATTGCCAACTGTGCAAGCATATTTTGCGTCAGTTGGCATAGGTCAGGAACAACCAGTGGCGGCCTAAAATTTGTACTTATAAAAATTTTAATGATTGTTTTATTAAAAAAGGCACTAATGCAAAAATGAAAAAGGAAAAACTTTCTTGATTTGTCGTGTAATATAATCCCCTTAAAGGATGACAACTTATTTGGTGATATTTATTTTCTTTAATAATTTTATTAAAATTCTATTTTGTTTCAAAAATGTTATGGAATATTTCAAAAAATCTATATACCTTCTTCCTATGGTTCCTTTTTTAAATTAAACATTATATTTTTTAAAACACTACATTTCACATTTTTTGAATAAAAACAATAACCCTTGGGTTATATTTTACTTCAAGTTCTAAATTTGACAAACCCCTTGATTTTTCATTAAAAATGATAGATGAAAGACATTGAAACTTATTTTGCAGCCCTTGTCTCCGCCCCTTCGTATACACTTGATGCCACACACCCAGATATCAGAGGCGGCCGCTGCTGAAAGAGCCATAAGTCCGGTAGTAGTGGTCTCGGATCATATGAACACCACCCACGAGATGGCGCTGAGGGCGGATTCTGCACCGGTGGCGCCAGCTTCCGCTTTGTTGAGGGTACGAACTGAAGAGTTAAGACGAAGTGCTTCGTCGCCACAGGTAAAGTAAACTAGTTTTAGCCGAGTTGCCATCTCTAGGGAATTTTCCCTATTTTAGGGAAATTTCGCTACCTCTTGGAAATTAGGGAAACTGACTTGAATTCTAGGGATATTTCAGAAGTTGCGCAACAATTTTTTTTTTAGAATGAAAACTTCTTCCAGCGCCAACCTTTGGGGGCTTCCCCTGCATAATGCTGGTCTGGGGGATCCCCGTGTCTAGTTGATCGTTTTTATTGACCTATCATTTCATTTTGATTTTGCTTGTTAACGGAAATAATATGGCTATTTTATATTTAAATAAGGATTTATTTAGAATATTTTGCTATTTTTTTTTATTTCCCCATTAAACATGTATGTTTAAAGTTGTTAATATAATAAAAATATGTTCTATTTTCCGAAATTTACATTTAATTGTATAATTATTTTACCTTTTTTAAATAAGTTAACAACTAATTTAAAATTTTCTAGGGATTAAAGTGTCAATCTAGGGAAATTTCAAAGACCGCACATGGAATTTATCGCGAGCTTTGATGGCAACGCAGTGCATTAAATATTATTTTAATCCATTATGATACTTTGTACTTTTGTTTTATCTTATAAGACAAATTATATAAAATATTGAGGAAAATACAGGATTAAATGTTAAGAAACAAAAAATTGCAAAATTCAATAAAATATAATAGTTGTATAATCTAAAAGAAGTTGAATAAATTATTTTTATTTTAATAAGGTTTTTTTAACTCGAATAAAAAACAATTTTATAAAATAAATTGAAAAATTAGGCTACAAAATACCAAAAAAATATTAAAGTAAAGTTTTGTGGTAGTTTCCTTAAAAAGTTAGCAATTATTACTAAACACATTATGTTCTTAAAAATCTTGATCTTTCAACCATTTTTGGCATTTCAATGTGGAAGCATTGAGGGTGTCCCAAGATATTAACGGTCTGTCTAACCAATGAGGCTTCTGCTCTTGGTATGCATTGAAATTTGGTGTACTCATTTGAAAAGTATTGGTGCAATTTGATTCCATCATTTGCCAGATATTGGATACATAACTTTCATCATCAGAATATTCCGAATCTGAATCTTCTAAGGGTTTTGGTAAATTAATATTGGTTTGTGGTAAATCTTTGAAATCCAATAAACTCGTTTTTGGCATGTTTTTAAAGTTTACTTCCAATGGGTCTTCAGTGGTCTAAAATAAACAATAAAATGACAAACCATGAATTTCTGTTTAAAAATATACGCACTTTCATTTCTTCTCTTATTTCATCAAACAATTTCTTGGTCTCTTCTGTAAATTCATCGGCAATTTTTTTAATTAACTCTTTTTTTGAAATGTACTTTCCAGGAGATGGCTTCAATAATTTGTCAACATGGTATTTTTCAAATGGATCCAGAATTTCTGATTCATCACTCTCTGAATCTATCGAGAAATGATCCACATATTCTAAAGATTTTTGTGAATGAAAAGAAACTGTTTTATCGCTATCAAACGAATTATTATGTTGTTTGTGGTCTTCCATTTTAAATATTGATTTAATAATGGTAGCTAACAGATACTGTTTAGCTTACATTGTGCGATACATAAACATAAGGGTGCTTAAAAAAAATTTTAATTGTTTTTTTCGTTCTCACCCTCTCAAATGTTTCTATTTGATATAAAAAAAAATCCTCACCAAATATGGGCGTTCCAGCTTCACTCTAAGAGGTCGCTGGAAAAAATAATGTTATGGTGTATCCAAAAAATTTCGTAAATTTTTTTTTAATTGTTTTTTTCAGTTTCTAAATCATTTAAAAATATATTGACTCACAAGTTCACACCTTTAATCGAAAATAATTTTTCTGAGCCTGTAGAGCGAGAAAAGGAAGGTAAAAATTTGGAAAACTTTTCCATCGAACTTTTTTTTGGGATTGTATGCAAACTAGGGTGCTTCAAAAAACATTTGGGAGGGTAAGAGTTAAAAATTATTTTTTTTTGAAGCACCCTAGCTTGCATACAATCAGAAAAAAAAGTTCCATGGAAAAGGTTTCCAAATTTGTACCTTCCTTTTTTTCGCTCTACAGGCTCAGAATAATTATTTTCGATTAAAAGCGTGAACATGTGAGTCAATATATTTTCAAATAATTTAGAAACCGAAAAGAAACAATCTAAAAAAAAATTTTTTTAAGAAATTTTTTGGGTACCCCATTTACTCCCCCCCCCCGCTGCCTTGTTTTTTCGTTTGCTAATTGTACCATAAAATGAAAAAACCCAGAAAATTTGATGTTAATCAAACTTTGACCTTGAATATCAAAATCAATTTATCGAAAAAACGCCCATATTTGGTGAGGATTTTTTTTATATTAAATATAAACATTTGAGAGGGTAAGAGCGAAAAAAAACAATAATTATTTTTTGAAGCACCCTAATAAACATGGTATAATATTTTATTTTAAATGTGTTAAATACTTCACATATTTTACCAAAATATGTTTCTTTTTGCAGAGTAGTACCAGGTCCAGCCATTGTCCTGTAGTTCGACCAGGTCCGGCGCTTGGTTGTAATTTTTGTTGGAACACTGTTGACGCTCACGGTAGAATTTTGCGCAGAAAAACTAAATACCACTGTCCTGAATGCCAAACCAACCTTTGCATTGTACCTTGTTTCCAGGTAAGAAAATTGATTAACATAATATAAATTATACATTTTTGAGTAAATTAAATCTAGAAAATATTTTATAGATTCTATAGCTCAAACTTTGTCGATTTAACCATCTTACCTATATCCAACATTGTTTCGTTTAGCCGCTAGAGGGCTTTACAGTTAGTACAAAATTTGCTTGTTATTCTAATATCAACAAAATAATAAATACTTTATGTAAAATAACAAATTAATTCATTGTTTTCTTCGTGCTGCTGTTTTGCATTAACCAAAAAGTCATTTATTTAATTAAAAACATGTGTAATTACCAATTATACTAATTACATAAAAAAATTGTTAATATTAATGTTACCTATTGCCATATTCATTCCGTAAAAATTATTTGAAATTTATTAAAAATTTAAATAACTGCTTCTGTGGTATGACGACATTTTTCGATTTTTCAGATTTGGGAAAATGTTGCTAGATTTAAAATATTTACGTTTTTAAAGGAAATTTGATTTGTAACCCGCTATACAATAAAATAATTAATTTAATTATGGAGTGTTATTCAGTTCGTCGGTAGCCCAAACTGGTTACCAAGTTACTTTTGCTTGAAATGCGTGCTTTGCATTCTTTAATTTTCTGTATGAGATCCAAAAGGTCTTTGATAATATTTGCCCTTTTTTTTACAGAATTTCATGGAAAGCTTGGTAAATGTTGTGTTTTTTTCTTTCAAGATACAAGGCCTCTTAAATGTAGGTTCCATTTTAGGAATCCCAATCGAAAAATTATCGGACATTTTTGTTATGGCTGTCATCAAATCATAAGTCTTTTATCTATGCCTCAAAATTTAAAATTGATTGTGATGCCAACTTTGTGAAAAACAAACGCGTTAATGGTCATTGTAGCCATAAAAAAACTCCCAGTTAGTTTGGGCTACCGAACGTGAATACAGGGTGTTCCGAAATTAGTGCACCATAGTTTAACAGCAGATTCTACTTGCAAAAATAAGAAAAAAGTCCTCATAAATATAGGTCGAGAAATGCCTCCTAAGGGAGCTACAGCCCCCGAAAAGGGAGCCCCTGAAGATGGTTTTTATCTAATATAAATAAAAAAGTAGAAACACTCTGTCAGTTACTACATGAAACTGTCACCTGTCTTGAATTATTCTATTTTTTCTTAAACATGGCAGCCGTATTCCAAGAACCACGCGAGTCCATTTCTATGGTTCTGATTTAATTGTAAATTTTTATGCCATGTAAAATAATTTTCAAATCGATTTTATGCGAAAACGGTTTATGTTATCGAAGTTCAACAAGATGACCTTTTTTATATGAAAAACTCTAAAATTTCATAATCTAATACCAAATTTTGGTACAAGATACGTACAAAAAAGTTAAGGTGGTTTTAACCCTACTTCTTATCAATCTGACGCAAACCTCATAAAAAATTTTAAATTGTTATTGTTACGTCTTATTGGTCATAAAAAGTTTAATTAATTCCCCAAATTTCACTTATATATCTTTAACGGTTTTGGAGATATTAAATAAAAACCATCTTCAGGGGCTTTCCTTTTGGAGGCTGTAGGCATTTCTTGACCTATGTTTATAGGGACTTTTTTTCTTATTTTTGCACGTACAATCTGCTGTTAAAGTATGGTGCACTAATTTCAGGACACCCTGTATAATTTTAAATTTGACAACTTTGTTATGACAGTTGTAAAAGCATAGCTGTCATCCAATGCTGGCTGAGTAATTTACAAAACATACACTCACAGACACAGCGTGTGCGCACAAGCATTTTGCGCATCCGTAGGTTACTACTGACTTTCGTACTATGCTCCACATTAAAAAGTCCCACTTTGACATTCAAATACAAAAACTTCAGGTTATCTATCTGTCAGTTTAAAGCTAATTTCGTCTTATTTTTTACTAGTATATTATTATACGAGAGATAATTATTATTCACAAGGATGAGGTTGGCATCTCGAGCCCTTAGGCGAGAGACGTAAATCATCCGAGTAAATAATGCGCATTATTTCGAGTATAATACTATGCTTTTTCCACTCCAATTAAGTAAATTTCATTGATAACAAAATTTATTATAATCTCACTCTAACCCGATTTTAAAGATCATTATAGTCACCCCTCGTATATATAAACAAATCTGACAGCTGTTAACCTTACTTTTTCCTTATTTAAAACTCGATTGGTTCAAATAACAGTGAATATTTAAATCAGCTAATCACCGATGCCTAACAACGTGAATAATGAGTTCAATATTCCCGTTGTTAGACCAGACGGTTATATTGGTTACCATTATTTACGAAAAAAACTCAAATAATGTAAATAATATGCAATAGGTGTAGAAAAAAATTTATATTTTGTATTATTAGCGTTAAACTGACATATACATTGCCTCAATTAATTTCTTATTCAATGTGTACGTTTTTTGGCTTCCCCCACCAATTTGGAATGCATTTGTGTTTGTAGAATTGTAACTTCACGTGGGAATATTAGTTTCTGAAAAGTCATCGGTAAAATATTTTTTTTTATTTTAAACACTTAATAATTTTCTGGGTCTTCAAAAATTACCAACAAATTTAATTTTATTTATAGAACGATTTGAAAATACAAAACAATCCAATTAAACCTTTTAAAGATTTATTTAAGTATGCATTTTTGTTAATTTTAGCATGCATATCATCTACATGTTTGGTGCCTTACCTGCCAACCGTATAAAATAATATTTAACATATCATTAAAGTGAATTTAAAATGTATAAAAATCAACATAAAAGTGGACACGTTCTTACGGTACTCCGATTAAGTTTTTTTAAGTACCTAATAGAAAAACTGTAAAATGAGATGTTTATCGAAATTACTTTGATATTACGACTGATTCAATTTAAAAACATTTTATATCATTTTTCTATAAAACATTATAAATCATCAGTGTGCCAGTCTCGGGCCGGAGGCGAATAAGAATGGTGTGTTAATCAACATATTTTGAGCCGAGAAACCCATATTTTTTGTTGTTTATTTAACAAAAATATAATATTTTTAATTAACTTTTTAGTTTTTTTGTGAAAAATTTGATAAAGGTTCTGACACTGTACCTACCTTATTTTGTGCATTATAATTATGTGCTTTAATGGTATTTTATTTTTGTATGTTTTTGATTATATTCTACGTGAATTATATTTTATCTTAACAAATTGTAACTAGTCATTTATTATATAGGTTGCACCAAGTATTCTTTTATGTATGGGATTTTTGTTATTTGTAGGTTTTCAGTTTTTTCATATATTTGAGAATCGCTGATTTTTTTTATTGCCATTTTATTTAAAGAGACAACCTTGTATTCAATTAAAATGGCTTTTAAAAGTTGGAAAAAAATCAGCAGTTTAAAAAAACTAAAAACCTATCAAAACCAAAAATCGTTATTGCTGGGAATTCTGAAAAAAGTAATTTTCCCATGAAAATGTACACATTTATCTACTAGATTTTGAGACCACCATCTTTTGTTTTTTCTATGTAATTTTACATGGTTAATATAATCAAGAAATGCAAAGATATATCCAACTACATAAGTTATAAAACTTCTAAAACTATTTTTAAAATTGCCAGGAATAACGAAGTTATAACGATTTTTTGTTTTGAAAGATTTTTAGTTTAGTTTGAAATTTTAAGAACTGCTGCCTTTTTTAATTTATAAATTTTATTTTAATAGGCTTGTAATTACGCAACTTTTCTCATTTAACCGACCTTGTAGCTCTAAAAACATACCCTTAGATCTATGGGTATATCTAAAAATATACACATAGAAGGATACTTGGTGCCCTAGAGCCTTCAATAAATGAAGGGCTGTCCTATACTGTTTAACCTGTAAATTTAATAACTGAATTGTTTATTTGAATTTGACTTATGTTTTGTATTCATTGTAGGAGTATCACGAAAGGCATGGAAGTGGCAGTAGCAACCAGGATCCGACAGCACTCACGAGTTCGGTAATGAAAGTCCTTAAGAAGCGACCGCAGTGCGAAATGTTTGAATGACGGAAGTACAGACAGGGAGAACGTAAGGAGAAACGATAAATTTAGAAAAAGTAACCAAAACCCAACGGGTCTGTCAAAAAATTGTTGTTTATACAAACATATTGTTGGTTTGATTGAAAATTGCAATTTTTCCCGAATGAAGCTCTCGTATTTTTACTACTAACTAGTATTATGAACTGTGACTGTTCTAAATTCATATGAAATTGACTAATGTTGGGAAATTATTTTTGAAGGTTTAGTATCAGGCGTGAATGATGGCAAATTAAATAGTTAAAAATTGCTTATCAGAATTTGTAATACCTAATGTAAATACAGAATGTATAAATATATTAATGTCGAAATAAATGTCAATTGTATTTTGTGTAATAAATGTTGTTAAAATGGATATATCAGTTAATTGGACAATTTAATTCCAAACAGAAATTAGTATAATGCTTTGTCCAAATTAAATTGCTTGTTATATTTTTGTAATAAAACGTAAATTATATTTTGTAAACCTTTTAAATTAAATTAAACTTTACTTTTATAATCTGTTTTTTTTTTTATTTCCTGTTCTCTAATTATTTTTTTAATATTATAATTGTTACAGAGATACAAAAGATTTCAAAGGATATATAAATTAAGAAATATTATAAAACAAGTTTAAATAAATTAATAATTATTTTTTATGAAAATATTACAGGAACTCGTCAATTAAGACAAATTAAATACTAAAAATAGGGAGTATCAGATTTAAAAAAGGAAGTTTTTAAAACATTAAATAATATATAGTTATAACCCTTTAAAAAATACGTGTATTTTTTGCTTAATATTTGTACAGTAAATATTTATCAAAAAATACACTGCTTAATTTCTACTGTTAATTAATAGTACAAATGCAAAGGCAGAAATATTTTTTATACTTTTTATTGCAATTTGATTTGCCATTCATGCTTGATATATTTTTATAATGCAAAAAAATAGATAGTCAAATTCATAGTATATTTTAAGAAACAAACTTGTTGATAGTAAATCAATATTTGTTTATCTTGTAAAATGATATATAAATAAGAGTAATATTATTTATTTTTTATTTACTTTGTGTGTTTTATTTTACCACACTGTTTAACTCGTTAAAGACTTTTAATAAAGTAGTGCGAACAGTTTTCAGTCGGGCATTAGGTGACGGTAAGGCTAACTTTGATAGTTTTCACTGGGTGCCAGAGACAAATACAAAACGTAGAAAAAGTATAGTCTGAAACACGTTTTGAATTGCATATTTCGCTCTCGTGAAACCGTCAAACTCGCCTTCGGCTCTTGTGATAAACTTTTAACTCGAGCGGAATATGCCGTATTCCAAACTTTTTACAGAATATACTATAATTTGCATTTGACCATGGATTTTCGATCTGCGATTCTGGGACATAATATGCATCTACCTGTAGTAGTAAGTTGACGGATTCGCGTCTTAAAGTTGGAGCTTCCAAATGACACTGAAGTTCACTTGTAGGATCCCTAGGATTAAAAAAGCACCATCTATAGATGGTATACGATTAATACAACATAAAAAAGGCATTTTTAACGTTTTTTGTTTATATGTACTTACTTTCCATCTTATACACGTAGGTATAAAAACAGTTCATGTTTTATATTAAAAACCGTATAAAAAGAACAACATAATTATATATTATAAAGAGTTGATATACACTGGATATATTATTAATTTAAAAAGTGTAAATGTCTGTAAATTCTTTTAATAATAAATAAGTTATATTTCTATATAAGCTCACGAATAAGCTTTTAAATAAACCATTTAAAAATGAAAGAAATAAATTTCTTAAAACTATTAAAAAGATTGATGATAGTGTCGGGTATATGGCGATTCCCTCTAAAGACAAAATTACTACAGCATGTATACAAAGTGTATTCCCTTATATTTCAATTCATTTTCATACTTTTTACAACGACAATGGCGATAGAGATTCCTATAGTGTGGAACATTGACAAGAGCAAAGTGATCGAGAGTTTGGGAGTATTCATATTGTGTATTTTAATAATTATTAAGATATGGTTATGTCAGACAGACAAAGTGCAGAATTTAGTGGCATACATTTTGAAAAAGGAAGATAAACTTGAGGAATTGGATGATGAAGAAGAGAATAATTTGTATGTTTCACATTCCAAATATTCCATCAAGATTAGTTGGGTTATCATAATTAACACTTTTATAGTGGGATGTTCTTTAATTTTAACAGTGTTTTTAGCGTATATGCAGATGGATGGAATATTGACTAATGATACGGTTATATTTGTACACAAACCTTTGCCTTACATAACTTGGTTTCCCTTTGATACTGACGAACATTATGCAATGGCGATTTTGTTTCACACCCTAGGTGGCACTTCTGGATGTATTTATTATACTACTTCATCTGTATTTTTTGTTTCTACTATGATTTTTGCTAGTTGTCAACTTAAAATATTGCAGCATAATTTTAGAAATCTTATCGTTAGTGAGAAAAGTGACGATACTTTCCAAGTTTTGAGAAAGCTTATAATTGAGCACCAAAATATTATACAGTAAGTAAAATAAAATTGTGTTTTGTGTTCTTTTATGAAGTGTTTCAGTTAATAATTTAAGGTTTTTAAGTAATATATTATTTATCTATCCACACCAATGTGACCCCCTTAAAAATATTCTCCATTACATTCTTACACTTGATTATTTTTGGAAAAATAATAGTATTTGTGGCCATAGCTGGTGAATATGGCCTTTTGTATTATTACGGTATAAGTGGGCATTATCGTAAGGCAAAAGTCATTAATTTATTGTCACAAAATGGGTATTTTTTCGTTGTAATAGGTACTTACACGCAAACGGCGCGGCGTTGCACTACTAGATAGTTGGTACTCCTAATTAATCGTTCCCCAGATATCAGAAGACAGCCTAGGGACCTGCTATTTGGGTTATTCTAGGCTTAGCCATGCCGACCGGATCTCGGACATCCATAGAACGTCTAGACCTTTTGGCTTAGCCTAATTTGGCGTATTTTGGATGTCCACGACATTCTTGATTGGACTTTATAATAGGTTTAAGCAATTTTTAGAGAAGTTATATTTAAAATATTGTTTGAAACATCAAATACCATTTACAAATTATACAGGGTATCACCAAATTTTTTTTAATAAAAAAATCATTAAAATTTTTATAAGTTAAGTACAAATTTTGGGCCGCCACTTGCTGTTCCTGACCTACGACAACTCACGCAAAATGTGCCTGCAGAAGACACAGTGGGCACATTTCAAGGTTTCCGTAGTTTTCCCGTCGATTTTAAATTTCACCTTTCACTTTTTACGTCGATTTATGCTCATGTACCTATTTTTTTAAGTGTTCCACAAAATCCTAATAACCGAACTGTCAGTAATCAATGATAACAAAGTATCTACTAACCGGTTTTAAATAAGTTTAAAAGTTTGCTTGCATTACAAGTTTTTAATGAATGTCGCCCACCTGTTTCTTTTTTGCTTGGGTAAATAATATGATATTATTAATATCATTGTAGGTAGAGTGGCTCCCTGGTTTTGCAAACAAATTTCATAATTTTTGTATTTAAAAACAGCTCTAATGCAAAACTAACAGAGGAAAAACTTTCTTCCCAGCAAACACACTAGTCTGGCCATGCAATGGCACATTAATGGGCCATTGCATTATGCAATGGCCCAGTAATGTGCCGTTGCATGGCCGGACTAGTGTGTTTGCTGGGTTGTTTTGGCGTGTACTATCATCCCCTTAAAGGATGACAATTTATTTGGTGACACCCTTTATAAACCACCTACTTTTATGAGGCTACTTTGCCTTCTTTGGATGTTTGTGGGACAAACTGATGAGGTCACAAAAAGAAACTAATCGATTTGTTATGATTAAATATTTGTTTACAAAAAAAACAGAACTTTATTGAACATATATGGAGTACCTAACATAGTTTATAATACCTATTCGTCGTATTTATATTTAATTTGATTGATTTGATTTGATCGGATTATTTTTATCACGTAAAGTTAATATAAAGCATTATTGTATCATTTTTAAATTAAATCAAATTATTAGTTCAATTGTTTAAATATACCATAATAGGACGGCCAAAGGCCAACCAAGTCTACTTTGTAAGTATTACGGACGTCTATTTGCGGTCTTCGGATGTCCGTAGGACGTCTTCTATGTCCAAGGTTGAGGTTCTAATTATATCCAATAGACGTTACGGTGCTATCTATGATTATTATTATTTCCTTCACTTTTTAAACAAATAATTTTCTTGATTTAATAGGTATAATAATATAAATATAAATTATAAAATTAAAAATGTTTCATATTTAGCTCTATAGACCTATTCCTTCTATAGAGGTATACTTTTGATTTAGATCGGATCCAACTTAAATTTAAAATAATGATATTTATATAATAAAATAAAAGTCATTTGACTTATAGAATTCGACGTTGTAGGTTTGGTACGGCAACATCATCGCTTGACAACGGTGGGCAATGCATGGCTGATGACGTTGCGGTGAAACAACGCACATACAGGTATTTGCACGATCTACGCGGCAAAAAGTCCCAATATCAAAATTACAATAACATTCGTATAAACGAGTTCCATGAAGAGAGTACGAACCCGGGAACTATTCGGTAACTCAATCTACCTGCTACCGCGCACCCCGCACCCGTAGCGCCAGTCCAAATTTGATAGTTTTACATCGTGTACGTATCTGTTCTTGGCGCTTTTCTAAACATCAAACTTCAAAAGTGAATTTTTATGTTATCAAGTTCTTCTTAGGAATTGAAAGTGATTCATTCTGATGGACAAGGTAAGAAACTTACAAACAACATTGATTAAGCCATGATCTACTATTAAACAGCATTATTTTTTTTATAATGAAAATACTTATTTTCGTACCGTGATTTCCTTCAATATTTTTTCTTTACTAGTGTTTTTGTTTATATATCGGGATAGATCGGGCTATGGTTATTATTATAGGTCATTATTTGATCTTTTTCCTTATAACTACTATCAAAAACATCTCCGGAAACATCCGGATAAATAGAGTTTTGAGGGATTAAAGATATTTAGCGAAATTTCGTATAAAATTTTAAATATTTGTTAGCGACTTTTAACATAGTGTATGTTTGTTTTAGGCTCAGAGGGTGTATCAGAAGTAATGATTGTGACCCGATAATACTTGTTTGACCTAATGAAGAAAGATTTAGATGCCAAATTAAACTATCTAAAAGATCAACTTACTCTCTAAAAATGAATTAGTCAAAAATGACTAATTACCACAGTTATTAGCGGCTGCTTTTTCACATATACCATGTTCCCCAACATTTAACAGCCAATTTTTAAGTAAAATTGTCTCTTGATTCCGAAAATACCGTCAAAAATCATAAAAGTAGAGCAGTTTTTA